AGCTACAGATTCAATTCGGAAAATGTCCGATTAGCGTCTTCCATTGCTTTTCTATTCGGAACTGTACCTTACATGGGTGTCGTCCTTTATGGTCCGTCACTGGCCTTAAGTTCAGGTTAGACTCGATTAATAATTAAACCATTGTGCAAACTAATTGTTGCATTAACTTTTAATTGTTCACAGTTACTCCACTTTCTACATCATCATCAATTCTTGTCATTGGTGCTATTTGTACATTTTATACTTCAATCGTAAGTATTAACAACCTTAATCCTTAATTATATTGCAATTGTCCTTTATGTAAACTAAACTGAATCAATTTGATGGTTAAAAATTGATTAATTTACAATCGTCACTTAATTAACAATTATTATTACCTTGAAATCAATGATTTACACTCTAAATTTAATCAGATCACCAGAAAATTGATCGCCCAACACTTATATTTTTCCCCAAGTTAAATCAATCAAATATTCAGTTTTACTAATACATGTACTTATAAAAAAGTCATCTTACAATTTACTAATTAAACTAATTATCTAATTTACAGGGAGGTATTCGTGCTGTTGTATGGACAGATACATTACAAGTATTCCTTATGTTTGCTGGGTTGCTTGCAGTCATGTGGAGAGTAAGTTAACTAATCAAATGCTTAGTTAATTGTTCAACAATAGAATCCGAAAGAGCTGATAATTTAATTTGATTGTTTTTCAGGGATTTTACTTGGTCGGTGGTTTTTCTGAAGCATTCAGAATCGCCAATGAACGAGGTAGAATTGAATTCACAAAGTAAGACAATTGTTCACAATTGACCTTCCATTTAAATTTTTTTTCAATTACAACTATTGTAACATACAGACAAAGACTTTGAGTTTGCAATCACTTGTTGATTCACTTGCTCAGGTAATGTTCCGTAATGACCAGGTAAAGTTAACTGCTAATGTCCAATTAGATGACCACTTTAAGGGATTATATCGTATGATTGAATTGAGTTTATCTCTCGTTGATTGTATTTAACTGCATGAAAGAATCTACAAGTTGCAAAGTCAAAGTCTTTGGCTGTATTTCACTATATGTCTAGTAGATTAACTAATTGTCAATTGTTTTCTAATCATTTTTTTAGCTTATCCATTGATCCATGGGCATCAAATAACTTTTGGAACGCTGTTCTTGGAATGGGAATCATGTGGATTGGAAACTATTGTACAACTCAAACTGAAGTTCAACGATATTGTAATGTAGATAGTAGAAAGAAAGCAAAATTGTAAGTTAATTGTTAACAATTTATTCCTCCAACTCTTTTTGATTATAAACTTGTCCTTTTTTCTTACATATTGTATTTATATTAATAATTTAGATCAATTTATGTGAATCTAATTGGTGTTGTTTCAATTATATGTGTTGCCTGTTTAAGTGGAGTCGCTATTTTTGCTTATTATGCTGACTGTGATCCAATGAAGGCTGGAATTATTCATAAAAAAGACCAGGTAATTACAATCAATGAATCAAATGATAATTTGTATCAGAAAGTTAACAATTATCATCGGAATTACCAACAAGCAAAACAATCATCGTCGTCTCAATAACGCAATTATAATTCAATGATAGTGATGATGGTTTTAACGATTGCAAAACAAGATGAATTTTAAAATAAGATTAATTGATTTACCAGGATTGTGACGATTACAATTTACCTGAATGAGGGTTAACTGTTTAATTGCGTTAATCAAGTGAAATGAGAAAGGAAAACAAGAAAAACTGATCATCGTCAGAGTAAAAATGATTACTACAATTTCTGTGTCTAAAAAAGTAGAAAAACTTCAAATTTCTCAACAAGAGCATCAACTATTTCTCTCTCATCTTGCAAAAACCCCTCCGGGCATAAGAAAACCCTTGCAATGTTTTCGCAATAAATATACCAGATACATTGAACTACCTGATGAGCTGATAACTTTGAAAGGATTAAATTAATGATTGAGCTAATTTTAGATGATTACGGATAATAGAGTTGATTAGTTTTCATTTGGAAGTGATTATAATTAAGATAATCCCAATGAATCTGATTAACTCAATACTTTTGCTTCCATACTCATCATTATCCTGATAATCCCAATTACTTTTGATGTGTAATTGTGTTAATTATTACCTGTCATCAATCATTATTTTCATATTATCTTATTGAACATTGTAATTATTTAATCAACAAATGTTTCATTTCTTCAATGATGACATACTCAACAATCAATACAACCAATTTAACTTAATTGTTGTCTCGATTTCAATGTCATTTATTGTGATCATTTTTTTTATTAGCTGTTAGTTTGTCTATATACATTTACTATTACATTATATTAATAGTTGATGATGGTAGGCTTAATTATTTAATCAATCAGTTTGATTGACAATTAGATGGCTAATTATCAACTTAATTATGAACACTTTTTCTAATTTCTATTATTATTTACACTTAATTAACAGTCTGATTGATTTTTACTTTGAGTAAAACAAGTTATATCACTTTAAGGAAATCTTGATTATAACAATCAAATAATTATTAACTTTGTTCAGATTGATTGTTATCATTAAATTGAATAAGAATTGAAATGATTTGAATGATTTAAATAATCTGAAATTAACTTAAATTTCCAAGGATATTTGAATCAATCAAATCAGTCTGTGTCTGTGAAAAAATTAAAAGTAACGTTAATTAAATCATCTGATTTCTAGGATTTCCCGAGAAATGATTATCCAAATCTAATCATTAGTTAATTACAGTTTTCTTTTGATTTTGATAATCGTTTTACTTTCATAACCAACAATTAACAATGACATGAGAGATTTATTCATTTGAACAATTAAAGTAACAGTTAGACTTTAATTTACAATTACAAAAAGTGTTCCATTAATTATGATTGTTTCCTGATTTTTTTTCGCGCTCTCTTTGTTGATAATATTAATAAAATCTAAATGCACATGAAGATTTGACTTAATTAACTGATTGTTTGACTAATTTATTTATTTTTGTTCTCTCCTTATAATTAAGCTTGTTCCTTATTTTGTCATGGAGACTTTGAGTTCATTTCCTGGAGTTCCTGGTCTTTTTGTATCTGGGGTATTCAGCGCTTCCCTGTCAACACTTTCCTCTGGATTTAATGCTCTATCAGCTGTTACCTGGGACGATTTCTTGAAACAAACTCGATTCGGTAAAATGAGTGAGAGTAAAATAAAATTAGTCAACAAAATGACCGCTGCTTTTATGGTATACTGACCATTATCATGGCCTTTCTTGCTGGACGAATCGGTTCAGTTTTACAAGCAGCAATTTCTTTAGCTGGATGTCTAGTTGGTCCACTCTTAGGTCTTTATATTATGGCCATTTTCGTCCCGTTCGCAAATGTCCGAGTAAGTAAACAATCAATTCTTATTCTAATATAATAATTTTCTAATATTTCATATTATCATTAATACGATTTTTTTATCCTCTTTTCTTTTTTGACCTTAGGGTGTTTTGGCTGGTCTTTTCTCGGGAATCGGATTTAGTACTTTCGTCTTAACTGGTTCACTTATGTATCCAAAAATTGAAGTTGACAAAGCAACTTCAATCACTGGGTGTCTAAATTTACCGAATCGCAATATGACCTCGCCTTTTGATACTCTAACACCCGCTGGTTATGAAACTGTTGGAATTTTAAAATTATTTCATATTACATTCCTGTTAGTGCCCGTTATTGGTTTCGTTATTAGTTTAAGTGTGGCTTTAGTCACAAGTCTTTTGACAGGTTTGTTGATTGACATTTGATCAATATTTACATTATTTGTTATTGTTGTGGTTACATAATCAAGGAAATTAATTGTTTACTTTTACTCCTTTTTTACCCTTTTTCGTTATTTGATTAACATTAATTTAGGTGGAAGAGACAAAATTCCCAATGTTGATACAAGTGCTATGAGCAAATTGATCTGGAGTATTTGGCCTGAATCATATTTACCACCCAAAGTACCAATTGTCCAGGTAATTGTTCAAGATTCAACAATAACTGATCAACTACCATCCGATTGAACAACAAACAATCCCAATAATTGATCATCTTTTAACCATCACAATCAATATTTTTACTTATCATTTAACAAAAATTAATCAATTGTTATGAATATTGTACAGAGATATTTTAATCTAAATACTATTTTCTAAAATATTTAACACGATTAAACAGAGATTATTGATAATTAGTGATGACTTTAAATCTTGATCAATTTTAATCATTCATCTTAAATTTGATTGTTCAATTTTGTTGATTTTCCAATTCGGTATTAATTGTTATTTCGTTTCTTTTTTTTTGATTCTGATTAATAGATGACCAGTGTTGCTATGGACAAGGAACAAAGAAATGGATCAATTAAAACATAAACAATTTAAATTCTTATTTTGAACAATTAACTACAATTTAAACTACACATTCGTAATGAGATTGATCATCTTAATCTCTTTCTCAATCTTGTCTATGTAACTAAATCTTTTTAATTATTATTACTATTATTTTAATTGATTAACTTTCATCTTTTTTTCCCAATAATTTTGGAAAAATGTTAACCAAGTGTTATATTATTTATATATAATTAATTGCAAACATAAATCAAAGTGATTACTATTTTATAAACAACACAATTAAAAAATGAAGACAATTTTTTTTCCTAACGACAAGTTTTTATTTCCTATGAATGAAACAAAAAACAATAAAAAGATTACTATTATTATCACTATAATCATGTTGGCTTCAACTTTAACAATTAACATTTACCTTTTAACGTGTTTTTGATTGTAAACAATTAACGAGAGATAATGAGTATGATTGGAAAAAAGAAAACAATATGAGAATAGAAACAATTTCTGATGATAATTAAGTGATGAAGATGAAGAAAAGGATAATAGTTAATGGATTGTAAGAGGTGAGAGAGTGAGAGAGTGAGTGTGTTAATCTGATGATTTTTGACCCTTTACCAATCCGGTAGAAGGAGATTAAGATTAACTGGATTTAAGAAGTGATTTTGGTTATGATTGGTTGAGACTTTCTGGTCACTTTCCCTATTTTTTTACTTCTTTTTTTATGTTTAAAAGGATCATGTTGATGGACCTTCCGGTTTGTTTGGTCATTTCGTCTTCCGTTTTCATCCAGTCAAGTTGAACACGTTTCCATTTATCACTTGGTCTTTTTTTGTATCTCTTTCCAACTCTCTGTGAAAATGAATCTCTATCATTTTGTCCTTGTTATTTTGTCAATTTCTGCAGGTATTGTTTTCTTAATTGTTGCAAGTTAATTGTTCTGATGTTAATTGTTGTTTTCTTTTTCTTTCCATAGTTAAGGCTTCGTCTTGTCACCTACGGGAGTTGGACTATTGTGCTGCATCTCTTATGGTCTTTGTCCAAAATCAGGGTGAGAATTTTTGTCTTCCCCAACTGAACTACTTGAAATTTGGATTTCGATTTGAGGTTTTAATTGTTTGTTCATTTTCGTTCTCAGATCCTCCAACAACCGATGCTGGAATCGATCGACATTGTCAGTTTATTCGGGAGGCCAATGATTGTACCAGAAACTTTACCAACAAATGTACCACTCCAATGCAACGGGAATTGATTGAGTTCATCATCGTCGGTGGTAAAAGTGTCACTGAAGATTTTTGTCGATCGGGTTCTTCTCTTCGTGAATATTATAAGCAGAACGCTCAATGTTTGGTTCGAGCTCGATCAGAATCCAAACATTGTTACAGAGATTTACAAGTTGCTGTAGAGAAAATTTCTTCAACCGATTGGGAGAATCGTCTCTCTTTGGGCTGTTGTGGCTTCAATAGGTTCCAAAAATGTACTGGGTCAATCGTTAAATCGCTTTGTGGTCAAGATGTCGTCGATTTGGGCCGAAAGATAATGCATATGATCACATCGAGAATTCCGGATATTGTCTGTCAATCTTTCCAATCAACAAGTGATCTTTGTGTTAACATTTTACCAAAATCTGGTTCACTTCCATTGGGACATAATGCCGAGAGTCTCTTAGCTCGGTTTTTCTCATCTTTTACCAATTTTTAAATTAGATTTGATTACAATCAATTTGATAAGACATAATAATAAACAATAACTACTTGTTATTTGCATAGTAATAAGAAAACAACAAAAAAAATAAACAGCATTTGAAAATTGATAACATGAAATAATAGTTTCTGGTGATTAAACTGTTTGCCTAAATGTAATATGATTTGAGGTTAGGAAAACAATGAATAGGATTAATGAGTAGAGTAAAAATAATATAAATCTGATTTGTAAATGATAAATTGGAAATCTTTGGTAGTAATAAATAGAGTTAACGATTGGTTTTTCTATGTAATTTGATCCTCTTTTATAATTGATTTTGAAATTTGGACTAGATATTAAAGTCGGTGGGTAAATCCATATCGTCGTCATCCATGAGATAAGAATAATCATCTTCTAGTTCAGGAATCATCGCTTGGTTTTCGTATAAACCATCAATCCCTTTCATGACATCGCTATGAGGTTCTTTGGGCTTTGGTTTTGGTTTAGGTTTTGGTTTTTGTTTTGGTTTTGGTTTGAAGATTTGAATTTCTTCATCTTCAGATAACTGAATTTCGTCTAATTCATCAGTAAATCGGACTGTGCCGGGTGTGTCTTTTTGAGGTTTTTTACCCCTTGAAGGTGATGGTTTGAAAATATTATCACATTGATTTATTGCTTGGATACGACGAACTGTTTCTTGTTCATTAGTCAATAGATATTTTGGAAGATATTCCAATGAAATGTCAGTGCCAACGTAATAATCGTCAATATAGTGGATGAAAATAGACGAAGCTACCGGAGGAACATTCAAGAACCTTTCGTATAAACCGTTCTCTTTGATCAATCGTCTGTCAAATATTCGTTGTTTCTCCAAGATTCTGTGATCCTGATCGCCGATCAATAAGACGCAAGCATGATTTTCAATTCTTCGAGAATCATTTTTCACTATTTCCCAGTTGGTCATATGAATTTTAATGGTTATGGCCTGAGGGAAACCAATGGCCGATGTTTTTCTTGCTCTCTCAATGGTAACTGTATACTTTGGAATCCTTTGACTTTCTTTGATAACAAATTCACCAAAGGTTATATGTCGACGGCAAAACATTTCAATTGTTCGAGGGTCGGCTGCTTCGATCCGTTGGAAACTTGTTAAATCAGCATCAACCAATCTACTTGAAAGTTCAAGTCCAATCTTGGGAAGTTGTTTAGCAACAAATTTTGAATTTTCCCAGATTCCTGCTCGAAGGCATTTAGCTAAGATAATGCAGTTGAGTAAAAATTTCAGGTTAGTAGCTTTAATCATGGCAACATCAACCAAACACCGACTAAGCCTTTGACTGACTCTCATTATGTTTCCAGTTTCTTGTAAGAGACTTGAACTCTCTTTTGAAAATGGAATACACCCTAGAGTAGCTTGAATGAGAACATTGATTTTCATCTCCTTGGTCTTGATCTTTCCAGAGAAAGGGAAACGGATCACACGATTAGTCTCTGTCTTTGATCGAGTGTTAAATTGATTTAAATGTTTTTTCTCCGAATTTCTCAGGTTTACATCTTGATTTATATCTCGACATTTTGTTAAAACAATTAACAAATCACGTAAACTTTCACTTCCTTTAAGCTCCATAAAGGTGCACATCGTTTGATAGGATATTGATTTAATAGCCATCATCCTACCAATTTCGGTCGCTTTAACAGCTCCTGTTTCACCATCGATTTCAATGAGTTTATACTTTTTCAATCCATTCAATTCTTTAACACAAATATCTCGAACTTTTTGCTCGACCCGTTCTTCCGTCCAATTTGGATCTAGTGCATAATTTTGCTTATTTTTATGCACTCGAATATGAAAGAAAGTTGATTGAACCCATTCAACTGCTTGACTAATGGTTGTAATTGTGTGTCTCTCAATTTCAGCCATAAAAATTTCAGCTAAAGATTGATGAATATTACTTTCGATAACTTTTTCACCGGAGACTAGTTTTTTGTATTTACTCTCATTTTTATCTTTGGTTAAAATAATTGCATAACCATGATCATCAAATTGTGGTCTCCCGGCTCTACCCATCATTTGTAAAATTTCAGATTCACCATACTCAACAAAACTACCACTGACATAATGACTGGTTCCTTTGATGATAACTAGATGGGCAGGAAAGTTGACACCCATTGCCAAAGTACTGGTAGCAATTAAAACAGGAATAACACCATCAAGAAAAGCAACCTCCAGTTTATGACGATCATCGGGGGTAAGGCCAGCATGGTGAAAGCCAATTCCTTTGAGGAGGGTTGCTTTCAGTTTATTGTCACCCAAACTCTTAGCAAGGATGTACATGGTATTTTTTTGCTCGGGTCGGCAACAGTATGCTGACTCTTTGGCAAGGAATTCAGCAGTTGTTTGACAATCTCTCCGAGTACAAACAAATATCAGTGTTGGTCGACCTTTGGAAAACTCTTTAATTATAGATGGTAACTTGTAATTAAGCTTTTGTATGAAGAAAAAGTCATTCACCGAGTCTGGACAATTGTAACCAAATACTTTTTTGGTCAATTTAACAGAACGAAATCTATCATCCAAATTGTAACAAACAGCTCCATTGATATCATCTCCTAACCATTGAGCCATATCATCTGTGTTTGGAGCGGTCGCTGAAACAGCTATGAAACGAAAGTCAAGCTCATTACCAATCTCACGCCTTTGAAGAGCTTTAAATCGTGTGATGATAGCTTCCAATTTGGGTCCACGATTTTTATCATTTAAAAGGTGAACTTCGTCAATTAGAATTAGCTTTATAGATTTTACTATTCTATCAAATCCAGCAAATCGAACCAGGTTATCCCATTTCTCGGGTGTTGCAAAGATAAGGGAACAGTGGGTTAATAAACGATAGTGAGCATCTTCAGAGTCACTAGTCATCTCGACACAGCCCAACCCTAGATCATTGAACTTTTTGTGCCAATCAAGGTAACGCTCATGGCAAAGAGTTTTAAGCGGAGCAATGTAAACAACTTTAAATGATGAAGCAAGTTGGGCAAGTTCAGCTAAATAAAGCATTCGAACGATGGCAAGTTCAAATATAGCTGTTTTACCGGAGCCTGTTGGGGCTGAAATGACCATAGTTTTACTAGTGTTAAAAGCATCATTGAAGATTTTACTTTGTGCAATGTTGAACTGCTTATAAGCAGAGAAAACAGATCGATAGGCTTCAGGTATCCTTTCAACAGGAATTAAATCCTTTGGAAGTTGACGGCTGGCAATTTCAACGGTTATCCTTTTTATTGGACTCACATTGATTAGTGAATACATGTCAATATTATTCACCTCATCAGGTTGGTAATTGTCTATAATTGGTTTCACTGGTTCAACCATTTCAAACTTTTCAAATTTACCAGCCTTTTCTTTTCTCAGTTCTTCCTCGGTATCAAATTCATCAAATTCATCGTTATCATCAAGATCAAATAAATTATTCAAATCATCTAATGGATTGTCAGTTATCTTTTGAGTTGGAGGTTTAGATTTTTCGGGTTTTACTTCGTCACGGAAACATGTTAACAGATTAATGGGTTTTCTGGTTTCATCTTCCTTCTTTACTTCTTTTTCTTCCTCCTCCTCTTCTTCTTCTAATGCTTGACTAAAGCTTAAACCCTCAACAGCCATGTTAAATATCTCCGATTCTTCTTGAAATTCAGGCTTAAATTTAGGCTTAAATTCTGGTTCAACAGGAGTAAATGATGAAGATAAATTTCGACTTGTAGATGGTCTCGATTCCACAAGTGGATTGATTGGCATGAATCGAGGTTTTTTCGGAGTCTCATGATGATTGTCAAAATTGAGAGAACGTCGTTTAGTTTTAAGAGAAAGTAAAATATCATCTAACAATTTATCATTGTCTTTTTCTTCTCTATTCTCTTTCTCTGATCGATATTTAGCCAAATCAAAAAATGGACTCCGAGAATCTTTATCATTAAATTGAATTTCTTTCCTAGAAGAATCAACCGATTTACCATAAGGTCCATTTGAGGATTGATACTTTGTAGCGGGAAAGAAAGATTTCAATGTACGATTTGATCCACCGGTTGATTGGGGATCCACAAAAATTGACCATTTGGAAGGCTTACCATCCATAATTAGATTAACAAGGAAACAAAACAAACAAAAATAAACTTCTAATTAATCAAACGTAACAATCGTAATTAACAAAAACTCAGATGAAGAAACAAAAAGAATTCAATAATTACGCCAAAATTTTAAAAAGAAAAGAACAAAAGTGAAAATAAGTCAACGCCCACATCGAAAAGCGCCAAGTTCAAAAGGGTTAATTCGAAAATGATGAAAATGAAAATCGAAAAAGAGAAAATTTAATTTCAACTTGATGATAAACGAATTGCAATCAATAAATTGGATGATTTTACCATTTTTGTCTGATACCCTGATCAGTTTTCCTATTCTTCTGTTGGTTGGACTTTTCTTATTTAGATGCTGGTCAATGATGATGAAGATGATGATCTTTGGGAACCGTTTATCAAATTGATTCAGTTCACTTGTCAATAATAATACAAAAGACGAACTTGTAAAAACAAGAGATGATGGAAGATGAAAAGAAAGAGAAGATGAAACAGCAAAGAAAGAGAGAAAATCAATAATAATAATGAAGAAAAAAAAAGTTTTTCGCCAGAACCGGTTACTAGAATTAAATTGATAACCAACAAGGTTTAGACCAGAATGTTGATCAAAGTTGATTGTTGGCTTAATTTTTTTTTCTTCTTCATTTTATTATTTTTTTATTTTCGAAATTCAAGTTTTCCATCATCATCATCTTCTTATACACTTTATCTTCAAAACTAACCTTGTTACTTTCCTATCATCATCTTCTATCCTCTTCAATGATACCAAATGACCTCTGGCTATTTAAAAATGATGATGATGGGAGTGGAAATGAAAAATATATTATATGAAAAAAAGGTGATCATTATCATCATCATCATGATGATCATCATGATGATCATCATCATCATTTCTATTTGTTTTGTCTCTCCCCTTTTCCTCCTCCTCCTCCTCTTCTTGATGATGATAATCAGAGGATTCAATTTTGATTGTAAACTGTTAACTTGTTGATTACCTTGGAATCTCAATTGACAAGGGAACGAAATTAAATTAACTATTAACCAACGAACGAATAAAAAAAAACTTATCTTCGTTTCTTTCAGAACTTTTTTATTTTCTTCTTCTCAACTTTTCTTCAACCTTTCATTTTGATTCGTAATTAACAATTAAGCCTGAAAACAATTTACTCGCAAATTCATCATCTTAATCATTACTATTTAACTCTAGGTGTTTTTTTCATCATTCAGATTTAATTGTTTCGATAATCGATTGATCATTTTTTTTTTCTTCCAATACTTGATTGGTTATTTTACAATTTTTGTCTTTGCTTGAAGTTAATTAAAGGTAATTCATTTGTGCTTTTCAACAATTAACCTGTAAGGTTAATTTAGAGATGATGATTAGTGTTACCTGACTTTTAATTGTCTAATTGTTGATGATTATTTTGGTTAATCAGTGATTTTGGGTTAACTTGATCGAGAAAACTTTCTAATTGTTATTAATATTTTCTTTTTCGCAATCAACTAATCATCTAATTGTAAATATGAATATTGTTTACACGCAATTTTTTAATTGTTGCAGAAAATTTTGATTTAATCAGTGGAAATCATTTTCGTCAGCTCAATTAATTGCGTGATAATGAATCTAATTTAATTGCTGGTTGATTGTTTCTAACCAATATTCTGATTGTTTATAATTTAAATTTATCTCAATCAACATATAACCTGTAAAAAATTAACCAACAATTAACAATCACAATTGACCTGACAATGAATATTATATTCACAATAAATATTATGAAATAATCAACTGATTAATTTTTAATTGGTGGCAAAAAAAATAGTTTCTCATACTTTTTAATTGTTATAATTTACTTGAAACATAATTAACAAATAAAATTATAACAATTTGAGTATTATAAATACAATTAGTAAATTGTTAACAAGCTATTTAAATTATCAACTATCATATTCATTTGGAAAGGTTAATCAAATCAAATATAATTAAACTAAGGAAAATTAAACTAATTGTGATTACTAATTATACTTTATATATATAAAAGTTTAATTGTTAGTTAATCATTTAGACTTGAATATACAATTAACAACCCTTCAAGGTTAAATTATTAAACATTAATTGTATTGAAAAGTTTTCAGGTCTAATTAATTGAATTAAAGAAAGCAAAATAAATTGTAACAATTAGTTGATTGTTTCATCAATGGAAAGTAAATATAAAAAAGTTTTCTTTGCAAATTAAATCAATTGAATTGATAAGGATAAGTGATTAAAAGTAATTAAAAGTGAAAGTGATGATTATGTTGATTAAATGGTGTTTAAATTGTATGTGTAGGTTTAAAGGTTGATTACCTTTAAGGAAATAATCAGCCTGAGGGCAATTAAATTTAATCATTATCATGATGACGGTTTATTTATCTTTATATTAGATTTTTTTACTCAATAATCAGAACTTATTTTCACTGGGATAAGAATTAATTTTAATCATTAAGTTAATCTTAACCCTCGGTTCGGATATAATGAGACATTGACACTAAGAGAGACATTAGAACTTTTTTTCCATTAGGTTATCGAACTGGTTAATTGGTTGTTTAATTTTGTAACCAGGTTAGAGAATCATGGTAACAATTAAGTAAATCATGTTGACCATTAAACTGACATACACAAACACACAATTAAAATCCTATTTCAAGGTAATCATAACAATTGATAATCAAATTTTGTCAGAATCAAACTTTTGTTTCCTGAGTTTTGATTGTGAAGTTTTTTTTTCTGATTTTCGATGAAAGAAAAAAAAACTTGATTAACTTGATTGTTGCTGATTATTAATATGATGGAAATGGTTAAAAAAACTATCATATGATTAACCTTGATTGTGTACAAATGATAAATTTTTATATCATTTCAATTACAATCACTTTCGGTGTTGTTGTTGTTGTTGATTTGTTTTTTGTTTTCACCAATAAGATGTTCAATTAACTAAATTAACGGTTAATTGTTGGTGATTTGTTTTTGGGAACGGATATCCTTTCACTGTTTGGATTTAAATTGTCACTATTAAGATGGTTAAAAAATTCACATACGAAAATCAATTAACCATAACTTACACCTTAACCTAATACCTTTACGGTCAAGGTTTAATTGTTGTTGTTGTTTTTTAATTGTTGAAATAAAGCCAAGGTTAATTAACCATTTAAATGACAAAATATTATTATTAATATTTCATATTGACCCCAAAAAAATTGACTTGAAAAAAAAAGTTAAATCGTCAAACAATTAACAACAATTAGTTAATTATAGGGAGAGTTATTAATTTGACAAGGTTGTTAATATTGGTTAATTGTTGATTGTTAAAAGTTGATCAAGATTCAAACCTTTCCAATAATTTAAATTGCTCATCTTATAGTAGCAGTTGAACAACAATTAATGAAACAATTAACAGGGAAAGTTGAGGAAAATTATTGAGAAACAATTTTCTAGAGTGATAATTAAGATCTTTAATCATCATCATCATCTTTAATTGTTAATCATCAACAACCATGAATAAATAACCACCATTGAAGGACATTTAATTACAATTAAAACCTACAAAAAAAAAATAGTTTCCACTGATTGTTAACAATCAAGGTCTTAATTGTTGGAGCCTCTAATCTAATCCTTCATAGATTTTGAATGGAAATCAATTTAATATTAATTTTCCCTATGAATTAATATTTTTTTTCAAATGATTAACAATTTAATCATCAAACAAAATCTGAATAATTATTGATTACCTTTTTGATTAAAATCTTAATAGTTAATTAAAATATCAACTAATGATTACAATTGTTGACATTGAAATTATTGTTGAACAATTTATTACATTGAAATCAGTTGATCTCATGTAAATCATAATCATCTTGGTTAATGGTTAAGGTCACAATCAGTTAATCATGATACTAATATTATTAATTTTATTATTACTTTTAAATCAATTGGTAAATTGTTGATCATCTGTAGCTTCAGGATAATCAAACAACATTAAATTGTTAATCACAATCATGTCTATTCAACAAATCATCACAATCAATTTTAACCAATGCTTTGAAACAAATACTATCCATGACCTTAATCATGATCCTTAATTGTTAACAATCAAAAGTATATACAACAATTAATAAAACAAGTTTCATAGCTTTTAACTTCTTGTAATAATCAACTCATCTTATCAAATTATTATTAGTTAATTTAATCATTATTACCTTGGAAAGGATTTTTTTTTCATATAAATAATAATCAACTAACAATTAACACTCACACACAATCAACTAATTTACTGGAATAGTAAAAATGTAAATAAACAATTAACTTAATCAACGATTTCCAGTTTCTCATCAAAATCAGTTTAATAATTTTTTTCACAATTACATTAACCTAACAAATTGTTGTTAATCAATTTGATTATCATGATCAATATATATACACAATTAATTGTTGAAAGGTTACTAACAGGTGAGTAGTAACAATTAATATTAAATTGATTATCAGCTTTTAATTTGATTGTTGAAGTGAGGAAATAAAAAATATCAACATTGATCAGAATGAGATTTTAAGATATTAATTGTTGATTAAATTGTCTTCCTACAAGAGAGTGAAAAAAAAGTAAGCTAATTAGATTTAATCTAATCGGCTTGTCTATCGTTAATTGTTCTGGTCGCAATTAGATTTGTTAAACGTTAATTGTACTGATCCGAAACAATCAAAAGTCACAATAAATTGACAGTGAATTAACAATTAACTAACTAAACTCAAACAAAAGGAAAAAGACAAATTTTTACCTCTAAAGTGATTAACTAAATAGTTTGTTGATTATTCAAGTTGACAATATTGTTCAAGCTCAGTGGTAACTTAAGTAGTAACAATTAGTTAATCATTAGGAGAGAGAGAGAGAGAGATAAAAAATTAACTAAATTAAACTACATACGACATGAAGTACAATCAACAATCAGTTGATTGTTGATTTTTTTGTTGTTTATTTGAATCAATTGTAAACAAAAGGCAACTACAAGTGTCAATAGTTAGTGAAACTTTTTCAGTTGTTGTTTATTATTTAATTGTAACACCGAATTGGCTAACAATCAAATTAATCACGTTCCAGGTCAATCATCATTAGAGATCACAAGTCACACTAATCAACTAATTGTCAACAGACACAATCACCAGTTTTACTTAATTATAAACTGATTGATTAATCTAAATCATCGGTGATCAACATTTCTCGCAAATGATTAAGTTAATTGTTGGACAATTTAATCATGATCATCATTAAACATTTGAAAATCCTCTTCTTATAATATGAATACAATTGTTTTACATTTTGATTGCTTTTTTTGAATCTTATTTAAAACAATTGATTAAGAAAATAATCAAATCAAATCTATTTTTAGTCTTGTTAAATTGTAAACTCGTTAGTTAATTGTTATTATCATTTAGAGGGAAAATTACTGTTAATCATTGTCTTTTTTTCCTCTCTTGATTAACTTTTCGTTTATCACTGATTAGTTGATTGTTGTCACTGATTGGAAAACTTTTAATTTCTCACAAGTGTAACAATTTATTTCCTCTTTTTTTATGGTTGATTAATGGTCCACAATTTAAATTGTTCAATCAAAAAGTTGTTACATAATTTAAATTATTATAATAAAAATTAACGTTCATCTTATTGTCTTAATCATTTGATTATCAATTGTTATCAACACAATTGATTGGTAATTTGAATTAACAATCAATTGATATTAATGATGAAAAAAAATTTCAACATTTTGATTAACTATTAATATTAACAACGACTAATTGACAACTTTAATTGTTACAATTAAAGGTCAAGGTAATTGCTTTGATGACAATGGTCAGTTTTGGTAATTAACTTAATCATCATTTGTCTGAATCAATTTTTTGTGATCACAATTTAATTTTCTTGCTAATTCAATTGGACAATTTAACCTTTTTTCATAAATAAATATATTTGATTTCAAATGTTTTGCAATTAAATCAATTCAATGTATCACAATTTAGCTAATTTTTTGTTAATCACTCACCTTGATTTACTTATTCAAAAGTTATCATAAGTTATCACAATTAAATTTTGACCTAACTAATTATCATCCCAAAAGTAATTAGATGTTTATAATTACAACAATATAGTAATGAATAATTAATCAATCAGTTGATCACCAATGAGATAATCTTAATCCAGTTGAAATTTGTGTCAAATTGTGATGATATTTATGTTTTTTAGGTAACCAGACAATTGACAACAATTAACTGATCATTGTGACAAATTAATTTAATTACTAAATCGTACAACTAATTGAATTGATTTCCTTCAATTTTTGCAGATAATTTAACGTGTTAACAATCAACTGATTGATCAATGAATTAAAAGTTTTGGAAAAAAAAATCCTCGATTCTAATCAACTTTTGGAAATGTAAATCAAGTCCATTAAACTTAAATTACAACAATTAAGTAGACAAGTGAGAAAAAATTAAAGCCAAGATTAAATTAAAGGTAAAATCATTGAACCAATCAAGTGATTTAAAATTAAATGTAACAATTATTACCTGTATTACAATTAAAGTTAAATCATCTTGAAACAAGGTAATGATTAAAAAGTTAATCAAAACAACGGCAAGAAAAAAAAACTTTAATTACTTGATGATGATGTTGATTAACACTTTAATAACTGATTTCAATACTGATTAACGATACAAATTGTAAAAGGTAAACATTGTTTGCTAATTGTTACAATCAATTAATCTCAATCATCGTTAATTGTTACAATTTTTAATTATTACGATGGAAGAGCGAAAATTGAATCCAATGTATTAATATACAAGTTGATTGACTAATCATCTTGATCTCAATTTGATTATTATAATCCAAATAATTGTCAACAATTTAGACAAGAAAAGTAAATCAACAAACAATTAACAAATCAGATTAAATAAATGTCACATAAATGATACACGGAAATGACAATTAAACTGATTGTTGATAGAAAAAGTTTTGTAACTTTCAACCAATTAAACAATGATAACATAATTAAAATAATCCAATTGTAATGATATTAATATGATTGATTAATGGTTAAAATAGTAAATTAAATAAAACCTTCAATTTAATGACAATCAAAAGATGAGATATTTGTTAATCATCAGCATGATGATATTAAATTGTGAACATAGAATAGTTTAATTACAATTAAGTTAACTTGTTTGACATCCGTGTTAATAGTAGATACTTGATGATGATGATGATGATTCTGTTAATTGTGACAATATGTATGTTAGGAAGTAAATAATATATCAACTTTTTTCATGCTCCATAAACTAATTGAACAATCAGTTTAATTATAATCATCATCATGATAACAATATAGTAATAATAATCATCGTAATAATCATTTGAATGGTAATAACAAGTTAATTGTGAACGAAAGTAAAAAAAAAAGTTGTCAAATTGTTCAACAAATGAATTGAATGGGAAACGAAATTTATCAAAATGATAAATCATATTTTCTCAACCAAAAATTGACATTGTTTCCATTTACCACCCTCACAATTATCCACCGCCACCACCACCACCACCACCACCACCAATATATCACATCCTCCTCCACTTAAACCTCCCACTTCCACCTTCATCTACTCATTAAATTGCACTTTAATTGTGATTTAAATCGTTAGTGATTTACAACTTACGATCACGATAAAAGTTCATTTATCAGGTTGATCTTTGAGAAAGTAAAATCGATTGATTTTAAAATGCTAATAATAAACAGTAACTTAACAATTAGTTAATTGTAGGAGGAGGTGGAGTAGGAGGGGGAATAGGAGGTGATGATGATGATCATAATGGAGGAGGGCTAATGAAAAGATAACGGTAAAAACTTTGAAGGCGTTGTGATTGATTAGCTGATTGATTATCTTTAGGTTAATTGTTTGGCTTAATTTGTTGATATTGAATTGTTGTTATGTTTGTAATCATTTAATCAGTTATTTTGATTGTTAATTGTTGGTGTAGAGGGCGCACATTAGAGTGGGAAAGAGAAAGTAAAGAAAGAGATGATAAAAGAGTAGAGAGAGAGAGAGAGAGATGATGATGATGATGATGATAAGGATGATGAAGAAAGTGAGTAACAAGTTTCTCTCCATTCTCAATGTAACCATGATTCTGAATTCACTCACTTTTCAGGCTTTCACATGAAAAGGAAAAGTGAGATTTTCTATTAAGATAATAGTTAATATATTTAATCATCATAATTAATAATCAACAATTTGGACACTTTTTTTCTGCTCAACAATTTAAATCAACATCACCAACGATGGAGATACAATGTCAACTATGAATGCAAAATTTTTCGTTGTGAAGTGAATGTTTATTAACGAAAATAATTTTTTCTTCTCGTTTTTTTATTCTCGAAATTAAGTTTTCCAATTCTTAGGAAATTACCTTTTCCTTGATTTTTTTGCCTCCATCTCTCTCAGGTTCTTCTTCGTAATTAAATTAAATTGCGTGCAAGATTCACGATTGTGACAATTAGTGAGAGAAAGAATCAAGAGATTGCAACAAAGTGGGGAGGGCAAAGAAAGAGAGAAAGAAAGAAACACAAGACGAAAAGTTCTAACGAATCTGAAAAAAGTTTCTCTTGATCGTTACGACGAAAAAATTCTCACTTTTTCCCCTTCGAATTTTCAACTTCGTTGTAAAAGAAAACAAAACTCCAACGAAAAGTTATACAAATATAAGTTTGTTTTCTTTCACTTAATCATCGTAGCAACAGAAAAGAAAAGTTAATCATCTTTAATTGTGTTAAATTGAAATCAAATTGAATCAATCTTGTTAATCCAATCAATCATCATCAATATGGTTCAACCTTCAAGTGATAACCATTGTTGTTATGCCCGGAGAGATATAAGATTATCATCATCAAAAAAATCAGCAACACAATCAATTAAATCACCATTACCATGTTCCTTGACCCTTAATTGTAATAATAATAATCAACACAAGTCTTCACGGAAGTTGATTAAAAACAAGACGCTGGCGATGAATGATTTATTATCATCAAATGATACAAAGTCTTTCAATGGCAAATCATCATCACCATCATCACAATTATTATCATCATCAATTAAATCACCATTCACTTCATTGAATAATATTTATTATTGTTATTATTTTGTTTATTACCTATTATTTACCTTAATTGTGACTATTACATTGTTACCTTCACAATTACCAGCATTTGCAGTAGCCCAACAGGTTGACCCATCAATAGCCACCCCAACACCTCCACTTCCTCCTCCAACATTGACCTCTTCCTCCTCCTCCTCGGTCACCTCACCTCTGACCCCTTCAGTTAATTTAACCTCCCAAGAGCCGGTAATTGTTTCACCAGGAGATGAGGCTTACATTGAATGTTTAGTCAACAATTTAGGTGCTCACACTGTCCTTTGGAAATCAATTAATCCAGTTAAGGAAAGTGACAATGGTATCTTATTGACCGCGGGTAAGGTCAGGGTCACTTCAGATCAAAGGTTTTCAGTTATCCATCGTCCAAGTAAGTAAATATTTCCAACAATTAAAATCTTCCAACAATCAAGTTGAATTTTTTTTTTCCTCAATCAATTTTCTTACTTAAATTGTTTTCCAACAAAATCATCATCATCATTATTAGTTGTCATTCTTAATGATATTACATCATTTAGTTAATCATCTTGATGATTTAAATGATTTACCTGATGGATGTTAATTGTTTCAACTGTATCTGTGAATTGTAATTGTCTTTTGTACTTAATTGTTGATCAACAATTAATAGTTTAACGTTGTCTTAATTTACTGTTTTCAATAGTAGGGATTTGGTGAAGATTTTTGATTTTTTTTCCAGCAATTGATCAACACAATTAAATAAATTGTGATGATGGTTAATTGTCCGTGATTAACGTTAAATTGTGAACTTGAAACCAGAATCATTAAGATATTCAATATATCATCAGATGAAACTTTTTCCCATGGTTTTTTTTTCTCAATAATTTATTATTAATTGTCAATGATTAATCATCGTATTGCTGGTTAATCATTATTATCATTTAATAGTTCAATCAATGATCAAGACAAAACAATTAACTTGAATAAATATTTATGAATGGATTCCCATGTTAATCATGATCAGGTTTTACTTTTCAATAAGATTACGATCAATTCAAAGGTAAACAATTAACTTACCTAATTATATAAATGGTTAAGACCGATTAGTTGATTGTAGTAATAATTAAAATAATCAGATAATGATTCATATTTACAGATAATCAATGATCAGGTTAACCAAACATGAGTTGATATACAATTTACAATAGGAAAAGATTTGTAATTCATTCCTGATAATCAATAAATTGTCTGTCGATGAGAAAATGATTGTTATGATTAAGAAAAAGTTTATCAAAACATAAGCAGCAATTAGATAAACAAATCACTTAAATTGTCGTACAATTAGTTGATTGTTGAAAAATTTTCGATTTTTCTTTTTCTCTATTCCAAAAAGTTCCTTCTAACTTTGAGTTTCTCTCTCATTCTTTACCTCACACCTTCATTTCATTTCATCTCTCTCTCTCTCTCTCTCTCTCTCATCATTTTCTTCATCATCTCCATCCTTATCTCCATCCTTATCTTCATCTTCATCTTCATCTTCTATATATTTCTCTGAATTTCCATCGCCTCATTCCTCTCATTCTATCTCCTCTTCACCTTCATCATCTTCCACTTGATTCAATGTTAATTTCATCCTTATCTTCATCTTTATCCTCCTTTTCTTTATATAAACTTTCTCTCTCATTTTCTTCCTTCATCTTCATCATCTTACTCTTTCTTTATTTTTCCATTTTTACTCTAATCACTTTCACTCTCATTTCCCGCTCTCAATTATCGTTATAATTGGTCTTCTTTTCATCATCATCTCAAGGTTGTTTTTGAACTATTTGATAAAAGGAATCATTTCCATCTTCATCTTTATCATCATGATCCTCATCCTCATCTTCATCCTCATCTTAATCACCATTCGCTTCAGTTTCTTTTCAAATGATTTATCAATAGGTTGACAAGAACCTTTTTCTTTACCATCAACCCTTAGGCCTTTTCCCCATTATTTTTGTATATCTTGTGAAGTTAATTTCTTTACTTCGTATTAAAAACCATTATCATTACATTGATTGTTTGATTGTTGCAATCAAATTTACCTTTTTCCATCTTCAATCATTTAATAGTTTCACTTTCTCTCTCTCCCCTCAATTCAGGGTGAAATTAATTCAATTAACAATTCGAATCATCATCTTAATTAACTTCAGCCAAAGCTGATTAGGTTTCTATTTGTCAATCTTATGTGAACCTTAATTTATATAAATTAACAGAAGAAAAAATAATCAAATTGATTGGGAAAACTTTTTCTCTTCTTGGAACTGAATTAAATTTAATCGTTACACAAGAAAATCATCATTTGAATGTTTCAACAATAACAGAAGAAAAAAACTTTCAAACAATCAAGTAAATCATTGATTTTCCTGATAGTTTGATTGTTATGTTTACTCATTCATTTGATTAACTTTTACAATTTTATTTGGTTGTTGATTTAATCAATGAGAAGTAAATTATTACATTAATCATGATTAACTAAAATCAATTTTTCATTTTTCTTTTCTCCAATTTTTTCAATAAATGACAATCAACAAACAATTGTCTCTCATCACCATGGAATTGATAATCAATTGGTTCTGATTATCAACAATAATCAACAATAATCATAATTTGCAAATTGATAATTAATGATAATCACAATAATCTAATTGTTTACAATTAAGATGGTAATTTATGGATTCTTAAAATTGAGAAAGTTTATCCAAGTGATTCAGGAATTTACGTTTGCGAAGTTAATTCTGAACCTCGAGTTAGAATTGCAAGATTATTGAACATTTCACCGTTCGATAGTTCGGCAAGTACAGCTTCGTCTTCGGCCAATGTGACCTCATCTTCGACAGGAACAGCAACCGCAAGTTTCGCTGAGGTAGATCACAATTATACCGATTGTTGTATTGAAGAAGGTGTTCCGTCAATGTGTCACGGTTTCTGTCAATTTCGAGGGTTAATTTCGAGTCGCGATCCACCTCAGGTCATCCATCGGTGTATCTCCTTCCTTCCGTCAATAGCCAAGTGTTTAGCCGATGGACGTAACCATATGCCCTGTTGTAAGCGACAATCAATTCCGTCCGTTTGTCAGCCCGTTTGTATTGGTAATTTTACACTGACCACAGTAACTGACCATTTCGTTTGTATGGACTATGCTGCACCCCTTTTGGCCTGTATCGCTGAAGGTGTTCAAACACTTCCCCCACAACCTAAAGAAATATCAGCTGAACCCGTTTCTCCAACAGAGATACTGATTAAATGGTCAAAAGCACCAACGAAACAACAACAATCACTCATCGATTGGTATCAAATCAATATAACTCAACTTAATTCATTTGATGAATTTGGTGTCACCGAATCGGCATCGATATCGGATAGTTCATCTTCCGGTGATGGTGACTCGTCATCACCTCCACCACCACCTCTTTATGGCCTAAGAATAACAACCAGAATCAATGGTACTCTCGATGAATTTAAAGCAACCAATTTAAAACCATTCACGATGTATGAAGTTACCATGTTAGCGATAAACAAATTTGGTACTAGTCTACCTTCATCAACCGTTCGTACCTTAACCCTCAGTCCACCTAAAAGTAAGGATAAAGAGCCTAATTCTGTGAAACCTGTTCGACCAGCACCCGAATTACCAGATATTAAAAAGTGTTGCGTTGATAATGGCCTAGTTTTAGATCGTTGTGTCGATATACTTTGTGATCCCGTTCGAGCCGATGAGGCAACTATAACCGATATAATGATCTGTGCCCCTTGGGCCAACATTACCTTTAAATGTATGGCTTCGGGAATCGATCACACTGATTGTTGTCGAGAACGCGGAGTCTCATCTACTTGTCTTCCCTTTTGTGAAGGTACAGTTAAACGGCTCGATTTTAGGCACTTCGTTTGTCTCGATCATATGTCCTCTTATACCAATTGTATTCTCGATTTCCATGGCGTTCTCTCAAGTCCACCAAGTGATTTTACCGTTGCTTCGGTTCACCATGATTGGGCTGTTCTTAAATGGTCACCACCTAAACGTTTAGGTGAGACAATTTTAAGGTACAATGTTCACTGGCGGGAATCATCGAAAGACGAAGTGACCAATTATAATGTTTCGTTAGCTAAATCGTCACCTTACCTATTGGACGGACTTAAACCTGGATCAAGGTATGAAGTTTACGTCGCAGCGGAAAATAAATATGGTGCTAGTCGAGGGTCAAGTCGTGTCATCTTTTTAACTCCACCCGTTGAGGAACCAGAACCCGAAGAGGAAGCACCAAAGGCTTACAATGAGACCGCTTGTTGTGCCAGAGCGGGAATGAAAAATTCATGTTTACCCCTTTGTAATTATCAAATGAAGGTCTCAGATGTACTCGCATTGGCACCAACCTGTACCGAGTCAATTTCAACCCTTGTTAGATGCGGTGCTGGTGGACGGAATCATATACCTTGTTGCCGACGACGTGGAGTGGCCATGGGCTGTTTAAATCTATGTGCAGGTTTAGTTGATGCTCCACCCTTGTTATTGGCCTCAAGATGCGCTGAAGATTTGGGCTCGATCATCCAATGTATGGAAGAAGGTTCAGAAATTATTCCTCCCATGCCGATAGATTTTCACACCGTTTGGGTCAATAGATCATCAGCCCATGTAGCCTGGGACATGGTACCCGAACATAAAATGGATCATCTTAAATATCAAGTTCGTTATGGTAAAACTGACATGGCTGCTCCTTTACACCCGTTGGAACACAGTTCGTCAATTAATGTAACCGGTACCATGGAAGCGGTAATAAATGGACTGGAACCCGATTCAGTTTACTCGCTTTACGTTGTGGCCATGAACGATTTCGGTATCTCTCTTCCCTCGCTCGTTTTACTTATCAACACAACCGATGAAACTCACCCAGGAGCATCGGGTTTACCCAAATCGGCCACAGTAGGTCCACCTCATGATATCGAAATCCTACTTCAAACGGTCGACTCTTTGACCTTTAAATGGTTACCACCGCTTTACATTCAACCCGATCGAACGGTTTCTTATATTGTCTATTATCGAGCAGTTAATGGTACCGAAGCTGAACTACTACCAAAAGCGACCGAAAAATGGATTCGAGTTGAAACTAATTACAATTCAATGATAATCACCAATTTAACCTACAATACACAATACGCGATTGGAATACAATCAAAAACCGATCGTAATGAGACCTCAGCTTTAGGTGAAATCGTTCTCGTTTGGACTGATCCAGCTATTCCTGCCTCTGTTAATCTCCCGTTGATCATTCCCGCTGGACCAATAGTCGAAGGTACCAATATAACAATCCTTTGTGTCGCAATGGGGACACCAATGCCGATCCTTTCACTTTACGTTAATGGACAATTAAAACGCCGAGAGGAGAGGCGACACATCTCATACCAATTAGCAAACGTTGATCGCAATCTATCATCGATCGGCTGTTATGCCACCAATGGATTCGGTAAAGACGCTCAATCGGCTCAATCAACAATGCAAGTTCTTGTCAAATGTAAGTCATAACAGTTGAATATTATTCCGTCCAATCAGCTGATTATTAATTTCTTTCCATCAATTTCAATTCAGTTAAACCCAAAGCAATGGCAACGCCGCCAACATCCTCGGCTTACCAATCGGGTGCCGCTAAACTACAATGCGAGGTGATGGGTAACCCACAGCCGAGAGTTTATTGGTACAGGGAGTCAAAGAATCACGTTCAGATCATTCAGGATTCCAATACGGTGTTCATCCAGACACCACACATCATGGTGAGTACTGAATCAATCAATTAATCAACTGAGAGAGAGAGAGAGTAAAAAATTCACTCCAAACAATCAACTAATTTAGTCAAAGTGATTGAATCTCTTCATTAGTTTTTTGCTACTTCGAAAAGCTGATCTTTTGATTTTTCGATATGCGAATTGGATTTGATTTTAATTTGATTCTTTAATTGTGATTACATTTCACTTTCTTTTTTACTGATTTGTGATTTGTTTTTTTTTTTGGTTTCTCTGATTAATTGTTAATTGTTTAATTGAGAGGACAACTAATGAAAAAACTTGAGACAATCAGATTAAGGCAAATATCCAAGTTGAAAGATTAACTTGATTAGATTAAGAATTAACTTTTTTTTTCGTCATTTAGTTAAAAGGTTAATTTGATTGTTGGGTAAAGTTTTCACTGTTAATTGGTTGGCAATTTAACAATAATCGTAACCCGTATTTTTCAATTACAATCAATTAATTTTATGTCAATCGGGTTAACAATTAACCACATTACACTCAATCACTTTGAATCAGATTAAATTGATTGGCAACAATTTAAAAATAATTCGGTTGTAGTTTTTGTTTTATTTTTTCATTAGACACAATCAGTTAATTGTTGTTGGCTTATTATGTATTCTGTTAATGTTTTCAAATCAATTTTGACTAAAAGCTAATCAACTTTACTCTAATTGTAATTTATTAATTGTCGTTGAGATTTGTTGTTGTTTTTGTTACAATTTAGTGTAACAATTTGTATTACAATATTGATTGATTAATTAATTGTACGACATAAATTATCAGGTAAATCAGTGAATTAAGATTGTAATCAGTTAGAGTTTGAAAACAATTTGTCTAACTGATTGTTAACAATTAAGGAAATTGTAATGATTAACATTTATGAGCACAAAGTTGATTAATAGTTTGACAATCATGATGAATGTTAAACATTATCATGACAATTAACTGATTCAGTTGGAACTTGAATCAAAAAATAACACAGTTAATGATAAATTACCTTAATTGTGAATATAAAAGATGACAATTTAAGTTAAATTTCAATAGTTAATAATTTTCATGGTTAAATTAAATAATTGAATAGGGAAAGTTAAATCATCATCAGTTTGATAATCATTAATTTAGTTACACTTAATTGTTGTGATGAAAAAAAATTAATTTAATTTAATGATGACCCTTTTTTATAATTAAATTGATGACAATCATTATGATTACAATCAAATATGATAATTATCATTTGAAAATTTAATTGTTATCATTGCTTTTAATTTAGTGACAGAAACTGTCAACTTTTATTCAATTTTAACAATACAATTAATAAACTGGATTAGTTAACAATCAGTGTGATGATAATTTATTTTAACAATCAAATAACAACCAATCATCAATTTTAACTACAATTATCTTTCCATCACAATTTAATGACTAATTAACAAGTTGAAGCTTAAAATTTGATGATAATGATTAAGATAATGATAATACAATTTACTAATCAAAAATCAAAGAGACAAGAACAACAATTAGTTGATCAATCTGAATAAAAAGTAATAACCTTTTTTATTTGTTAATTTAAATTGTTCAACTTTAATGATTAAGGTTCCTTATGGGAACCAATCATTGTAATAGTTAGTTAATGATTAAATTAGTTAATCAACTACGAAAAGCAGAAAAAGTTTTTCGTAGTTAATTGTGATTGTTGTGGTAAATGAGATGATCATTTAAATCTTCATCAAAATGATTAAAATTAAATCAACCGGATAAAAGAAAACTTGAAAACGTAATAACAATTAAGTTAATCAGTTGTTTTTCTGATAGTTAATTGTGATATTTAGTCAAAATTTCAGCTCAAAATTAATGTTAACCACTTAATAAATCATTAAATTGGTTATAATGATCAACTGCAGGTAAACAATTGATTTAATTGTTGTTGTAAATAAACATAAAAGTTAACAATCTAATTTAAAAGTCTTTTGTTTATCTCTTGAAAAACTTTTTGCTCTTGATTAACTTTAATTGTAAACTCGATTAAATTAGTTAATATGATTGTTACTATTACTTTCATCTTCACTCTTCCAAATCATCAACTAATTACACATACAAACTAATCAACCAATTTCCTCAATTAACTAACATTTCCATACGAGAAATGATAGTTAATTGTTACTTCATTGATTCCGATCACAACACTATGTGTTTACCTTAACAAACAATTAACTTAAATTGTAATTAATTTTTTTTTCCTCAACTGCAACTCTTTTTATTTTGGCTTACCCCTTTTGTGAAAAGTTAATTGTTTTTTGGTGGTTGATTGTAATGGTTTAAATTGATTACTAATTAACTTTTTTCTCACTTTCTCACTATCCTATTGTTTTGGATTATCATGATTGGCGGATATGGATATTGACAATTACCAATTTAATTACAATTAGCAACCATTTACCTGGATTTCAACCTTGTTGATTAAACGTTCATCTAAAGCTCATGCTGGTAACTATTTATGTTCAGCTGAAAATGATTATGGTCAAAGTCAGGCAACAATTTCATTAACAATTAATGAGAATAAACCAAATGCAACCAGTGCGTTAGGTAAGTTGATTAGTAAATTGTCCTTGGATTCCATCAAAAGTGAACAAGATGATTAAGTAAATGATTAACTTTTTCTCTCTTCTTCTCCATAATCATACAGCCTGTTGCAAGGAACAAGGAGTTTCCAAAGAGTGTCTTTCAGCCTGTACCTTTGATGTCGATATTGAATCAGCCAAGAAAATACCTCAATGTATCTTTGATTTAGATAAATTAATGTCTTGTGCAGCAGGTAAGTTAATTAACTCACACCCAATAAGTTAATTAATCAACAACAACGATAATTTCATCAAAAATTATAACCGTTGTATTGATATGAGATTTTAAAGAAAGGATAAGTTTTCGTAATCACCAATTGATTGATTATTTTCCTCTCTTTCAGATGGATCTGATCATCGACAATGTTGTAAACGTAAAAATGTCCCAATGGCCTGTCTCCGTTGGTGCGCTGGTCTCCGTGTTCCAGCTCCATGGCCTTGTCTAATATCATCATCAACAGATATTGTCTCTTGCTTTGAAGAGGGTAAAGTCCTTTTACCTGGTCCACCTCGAGATGTTCGAGTACAAAAAACTTTGGACACAAATAAAGTTCTCGTCAAATGGGATCTACCAGAAAAGAATCCGGAATTGGTACAATATTATCGAGTCATTTGGAGACCAATAGGTTCACGTGATCTTAATCGTAATCAAACAAATCAACCATTCTTTGAATTGGAAGGATTAGATTCTGAAAAGATGTATGAATTTGTCGTTAAAGCGGGTAATCATCATGGTCTATCGGTTTTCACTGATCCAGTGGTCATCTCAATGAGAGAATCAGCTGAAGCATCAATTGGTAATCGATTGTTGAAAATTTTCTTCTCTTTCGCTTTGTTTGCCGTATTCATGGTTCTTCTGGTTGGTGGTATTCTTTATGGTTACAAGAATCATTATCTAAAACGTAAACCCGCCGGTAGTGGAGTTTCCTTTGAGAATCCATCCTACATGAAAGATGGTGGAACTGTTCAAATCCATGATAATAGTATCAACTCCAATGGAAATGGAAACTTGGTTGATTCTAATCGAAACAAAAGTCAAATCGAGACCTCAAGTTAAATCGACCAACAAGATTTGTAATAATAAAACCAGAGAAACATCAATTTGATTCCTTCACTTTGGAAACCATCCTCAATATGGATCACCCTTTAAATATCTTTTCTTTCCTTCTCATCCTCTCGAATCCTCATTATATCATTTTCCAAAGGTGAAATTTGTTACAATTTAACATTCGATTGATAAAAGAAGAAAAATACATCCAGATTAAAGAGGAAAGAGAAAAACAAAATCACAATGATAAAGAAAAAGGAAAACAACGTTAATTAGGAAAAGGATTTGTTACATTGGATCGATTAATTGTACTGGACAATTAAGTAATTCTGAATGAGAAAGAAACAATTGCATGAAATTAAAGAGAGTATCAGAATTACAGAAGACACAATTTACCTACAAATTTGAAATGAAATATTTTCCAATTAAGGAAAATAGTAAAGGTTTTGATGTTTACAATTAAAACCTTTCAATTTGTAGGTAAATTTATATATATAAATATTTACAATAAGATACTATAAGTAAGCATAATAATATTGAGATGAAAAAAAATTACACAAAAATGAGACGATAATCAATAATTAATAACACTTTTGCGACTGTGATTGACTGTTTACAGTTTTCCTAACATGTTGATTGTAAATAAAAAATTTATTTCCACCAAAATGTCACTTTTTGTTTCCATAATCACTTTTTTTGTGTCTGATTAGACAAATTTTGATTCTTTGCGAAATGATTAGCCCATAATCACAATCAATGGTTGGCTTTCATGGTCCTTTTTAGATTGGTAGAAGTTAAATCTCACCAATGATGGGATGTTTGAAGTTTTTTTTTGGTTTTGATGGTAGTTTTAATCTCATGATTAAGTGAATTTGTTGACGATTAGGGTTTAACAACTGCATATCGAATTAGTTTCCCTGGGCCTCTGATTTCTTTGATTCTTCTACAATGTCGTAAACACGTTAATACTATTTTGGTTGTGTTGGTTTCTTTGAGATTACTATACATTTTAAGATCATCGGTTGTACAGAATAATTGACCAGCGGTATCAGAGTTTTCTTGTGACTTGTAAAGTTGAGCTCTTTTCATATCTTCATCGGTATATCTGGAACTATGGGTTGATAGAAGTTGATATTTAGCAGTAATTGTGTCCATAAAAGCAGCTAAACCTTGATTTAATGATGAATGGGTTATCCTTCCTCTCATATATTGTGGAATCTCATCAAATTCATTCATGTTAATCGGCTCTACCATTGGTATTTCTCTATTTTTTACTGTCTTGTACTCGGTTGTTGGATGATTTTTAGCTTTATTGTTCTCAGAGACTGTTGATGTTGTTACTTTCTTAGTACGATTATCTTCCTTACGAACTGATTTACTTGTACCTTTCGCTGTTGGCGGGTGATGATGAGAAGCAACAGTTGAATGGTGGGCAATTTTTGACGGAACAACAGAAGCAGCAGCTATTGGAATAGTCTCCTTAATCTCTCTAGGAGCTTGATATTTTCCTTTAAATGAAACTAAATAATTACAATGATCTTGGACTGATTCAACCTTTTTTGTTATAAGATCCTTCTTGGTTAATAGATCCTCTTTTTGACGATCCAATTCAGTTTCAACAATAACCAACATCTCCTCCATCTCTTGGACAATTGCTAAGGAAAAAAACAACAAAGAACAACAATTATTAAATCAGATTAAACACAAAATTACATTATAACAATCAATAAATTAAATTGTTTCTCTTGACGATAAATACAAACACTTACCCGATAAGTATGAAAGTTTGGGCAAATTGTCATTACCTTCACTTGCACCTTCCAGTTTACATGCTTTAACCAGAGGAACTAAATCATTTATCTGATCAATTTTATCACTAAAATAGTTGAATATTGATGGAAAATCCTTAGAATCCATAATTTAAATCGATTGGGAAACAATTAACAAGAGACAAAGATTAGAAAACAATTAGAAATGTTTCCCATGAGAGCAACAGATGAATAGAAAAAAATCTGAAAAGAGAAAAGAAAAAAACGAAAAGCGCCAAATTCAAATAACTTTTCTTGGAATAAAAATTAGAAAAAAAAATTAATCGAAACGTTTGATTGATGACAATTAACAATTAGAATTGGAAAATATTATATTGATTTTTGTTTTCTTTTATTTTGATTTTATAAAACCAATAATGATCGGGAATCATTATCATCAAGTTGATTATCATGATTATTGTTTTGATGCTTCCGGAAAATTAAATTTCACTGATTGTAATCAGTTGATTATTATGATGATACAGTGATTTGAATATGATTATCGCGATGATTAAGATGATAATAGTAATCGTAATCGTTTTAATTGAGGTAAACAAGGAGGGTCATTGATTGCGAGAAGATGAAATTGAAGACAATTTAACAGAAGCTAATTTCAATCACGACAATGTAAGTGTTTGATTGTGATTAAGATGATTAGTGGTTAATTTGTTTTCTCTACTCTACCTTAATTTTGATTATCAAATTAGTGGGATTGAAATTAAACAAAAGATTCTAATTTATTAAATCAAATTAATGGTCAGTAATAGTTAGTAAATTGTTAGTTTTGTTTTTCGAGACCATTTAACTTTTCAACACTTTTATCATCTTAATCATCATCATTCATCATAAATCATGATTTAAATTGTTTCAATCAAATCATTTCCTGGATAAACAATCAATCCTATCAAATCATAATCCACACATTTATTATTATTATGATTAATTGTTATCACCATCATGATTAAAGTAACACAATTAACTTGATAAGTTTTTACTTTTTTTCTTAACCATTGATCTTTGATCAATATCAACGATTTCCTATTCATTGATCATGATTAACATTCAAATTAATCAGTTCCAATGCTAATTACATTGATGTCCTTGATTAACAATCAACTGTAACAATTAAAACCTAATTAAAATCCTAAAGGCAAGTGACCCAATTAAACAATACAATGACCTTTTATTATGATAACTAAATGACCCAAGTTGAAAGTTAAATTGTTATTAATTTTAATCAACACTAATTGTTGTGGTTACCCACTGATTGATCACAATTAACGATGAAATTGATAATGTTACAGTTAATTGTTTTCTCTTGTGAATAAATTTTTTCCTAATCAATTTCCAAGTCAATCTAATGAGTTAATTGTTTCAACCGATTTGAATCAAGAAAATTTTGATGATTAAACGCAAATTTAACAACAACAATTTAGCAAACCAAGTATTTGATTAAGCTAATTAGTGAGTCTATTTACAGTTTAATTAACTGAATTAAAATTAAACACCAACAACAATACAAACAATTAGTTATCACTTTTTTTTAAATGAAAAAATACTCTTTTAATTGTAGACAGGAATTAAACTTGATTTGTAACAATTAACTATTAAAAAAGCACCAAAATTACCACCAAAGTCAACAATTAACTCTAATTGTCTTCAAATGGTCAAGATACAATGTTAATTAGTCTCATAATTAACTGATTCCTGAATAAATATAAAACCTAATTGTGAACCTCAAAGTGAAAGTTAATCAAATACAAAATAAAAGTTGTGAACAAATGAACAATCATTAAATTGTAGTGATCATCAAATGATTAACTACTAAAATAAATTAACAATCAGCTAATCAAATTTACTGATCTAACCTTAGCAATTAGTAAAATATGTTTACAATTGAACAATTGATTAACAATTAAATTGAGTTACCTTGTAATCTTAAGACTGCAAATGATTTAAAAAGTTATATGTAAGTATCACAATCAAAGGGTTAATTAAGTACTAAATTACTAATAATAATTGTAACAATTAAGATGATCTTACAATAATCAAGAATAGTATTTTTTTTTCAGGTTAATCAAGCTCACGATACTTTAATTATCTTTAAGTCTCTTCCTTGAACTAAATTCAATAGCAAGATGATGATGATGATGATCACTATTTCATTTGATAAACCAACAATTAAGGTAATAATTTAAACTCATAACAAACAACAATTAAGGAGGTGGAGGAGTGAAGTGGGCAGTGGTAGTGGTTGAATGTAGTGGTCAAGATGAATTAAATTGAAAGTGATTCAAATTGACCAAGTTGATGAATATTTAAATTGAAACCTTTAATTATAATCCTCGAAATAATCACAATCAATTGAACCATCATCATGAAATAGAGTAATTTATTAATCACTTTGATGATCAATGATCAATTGTACATCAATGATGTTGTGATGTTTTTTTTTGTATCATATATTAATTAATTGTATTATTGATTGATTAACTCTTAATATACTTGATTAAAATCATAACCTGTCCAATTGTTTGATGAAATAATTTGTGATTAATTGTTAATAAAAAAAAAGTAATCTAAAACTTGATTTGATTGAAAATTAGTCAAATGTATATTTATATTGATCAAGTTTATCAATATATTTATATATAATATCAATTACATTAAACTGATTAACAATCAATTGATCAACTGATTTTGATTGTAGTAATCAAATAAAGCATAATAATAATAGGAATTGAAATTTTCAAATCCACAACAACAATCAAAAATCTGACAATCAATTGATTAGAATAAATTTATAATTTGATCACATCCCGAACAATTATTACGATTCACGATTTTCGCATGAAGATTCAAGAAAAACTATACTACCTACAGACAGAGAAAAAATGACAACTAATAGAACTCAAAAATCTACACCAGCAAAAAATAGAACCGATATCTTAGGTGGTCAGGGTCGAAAGTTATCGAATTTTGAAATTAGAACATTTTCTTAGAATGAAGGGTAGCTCAAGCTTTACCTTAAGGTTGAATCCCTTGGAATCTTTTCACATTTAATTTTCATTAATTTTCATTTTTCTTTTCTTATTTAAAACAATTAACATTTTGATGTGAAAAACTTGAGTTAATCTAATTAATCACTATTACCAATTACTCATGTTTAACCAAACAAAAGAAAAGACAACAGACTAAAGTCTCTAATTTCTGTTAACCTTATGGTTATCCTTATATGGTTAAGCCTTTTGGCTCCTTCTCTTTTCTTCACTCACGTGATCACCAAGAGTGGGTAATATTAGGCGCCAAAGTAAACAAAGGAGACGTTTTCTTTTCTCTTGTTTTTCCCCCTTTTTCTTTATGTTACCCTTAGATACTGGATAAGCTTAAGCTTAATCTTTATCTCCCTTTCATATATATAAGTAATTACTCAAGTAATGGAGAAGAAGAGTTAAGATTTAGATCTTATTGAAACAAGATTAATTTTCCACTTTTGTGAATCTTTTTTAATTGTCTAAGTTTTAAAACTCAAATGTTAAAGAAAATTACCATTCTTATTTGTGTTTATCTCTCTTACATTTACTTAGTTTACCTTTTCTTATTAAAGTTAATAAACATTATTAAGTTCAACGGAAGTGATTAAATCGATTCTTAAAGTGTTCAATTGGGATCCTGTATACGAATCTTATTGACTTGATAGTGAGGCAAGTCAATCTCCATTGAAAATTACACCTAAAGCTTTAGCTTAAAGAAGTTTATTCCATTCGGATATCACTTGAGTGTATTCTTAAAATTGTGGTGATAACCATTTCAGATTAACTCTAGTTGATCATCATTTTTACCTTTCGGTAGTAATTTAATTTTACTTTTCCCTTCACTTGGCGAGGATACCAGGATTTCAATTGAACTCTATTGATTATCTTCATTTCTTAAGAACAATTTTTGTGTTTCAATTTTAACAAACTCTTTTAATGGTTGCAACAACTCGTTCTACTGTGAGATCGTCTTCTGTTGAAACTCCATATCGTAAGAGAAGTTATAAACCTCGATCAAGAACTGTTCATCCACCATTACCTTTAGAATCATCTCCTGATTTAATTCTAAATCAATCTTCAATTCCGTGCACTACCGTTACCATGGCAAGTATTGGTCAATTAGATTCTCAAGAACTAAAAGATCTTCTCGTACAATTCAATTGTGTTGTACCACCGACAAGCTTCTTAAAGAGAAGAGTTTGTGATGTCATTAAGACAAATTTCATGGTACTTGGTATTGATTTAAACGAAACTGAAATTGAAGCTTTATCACTTGATGAAGTAAAGGAGATTGATTCCTGTGAATGGTTAACCTCTTGTCGAAATTCTGGTATTTTAGAATCGGAACTTCAGTTGATTATCTCTCGAATTGGTCGAGATATGGAAAGTGTATTTTCCGCTCCGGAATCTGAATTACGTTTGATTCCTTTACCTTTTGGTACCATTCTTAAATTAGCTAAGGCTAAACAATCAATCGGTTTACAAACCATTGTTGAAGATGTAACCAATCGTCAACATCACCCGTTGCTTCTTTTGCTTCACAATCACGGAATCAAGAACATGAGTCACATCAAGTGAACAACATTAAGACTTTGGTTGATAATCTCAGTGCGGTAATGACCAAAGACCCAAAAATTGTTGAATTCGTGAAAAATGAAGATATGCGCGGTGGATTGGAAAACTGTTCATCGACTCTCTTTAGTGATGATGAAACTCGACTTCGGTGTTTCAAGAAAGGTTTAACTAATGAAATTCTTCATATGGCTAAACGAATCGATGGTAACATAACCGATTATCACTCTTACGTCAAAGCATTAAAATGGTAAATATTCTTTGAATGCTCATGATGCTTTTAAATTGAGAAATTTGGTTTACGACTTTTCGGTCCCACCACAAATTTTATGAACAACGCTAGAGACATGATGGAGAGTTAAAGGAAACTTACTGAAAAGGTTTTCTATTTGATCTTCTCAATCTCCATATCCCAGAAAATATTCGAGATGAGATAAATCAGGCAGGTCATAATGACGATGAGATTAAAATCATGAACACTTTGCTTTTGCATTATCATGATAATGAAAGAAGAAACAAAAGCTAAAGCTGATAGAGCTAAAGCTCAAAGTTCGTCATTCAATCATCTAAGACAAATCAGAA